CAATGGTAATTGGTGTGAGAGAGACATGGAAGCTATTTGTCTATACTTTCATTCCACAAACATATAACAAACCTGTACTATGTGCTAGACCTTGGAGGTACGTAGAATACACATGGCTCCTGTCTTCAGCCTTCTGGTCACTCTCTAGTGACCAGATCCAAACCATTCATACTGTTTTTAAGCAAAAAATTATAGCCGGTGGAATCCTGACTTTGCTCATGTTTAGTGATATAAAGTCTCGCTTCTCTCTACAAAAGGCTGTGTCCAAATTTTTATGACCCAGTGTAGAGCTGGTGGAGTTTGGGCAGCAGACTATCAGGCCTTTCCTCCTAATCGTCTTTATTTAAGAAGAGGAGGCTTTGTTTTCTTGGTTACTCCTTTGAGGTCAACCATCTGTGTTAGGCCAAAGGAATATGATTTAAAATATAATCTAGAGAAGCAGTGTCCCATAAAGGAGAAGCCATTATCACAACGCTGTTGTCATGCTTGGCATCAGACAGAGGAGTTTGTCAAAGCTCTGGCCTTGTGACCTAGGCTTGAGAACGTGGAAGTGGTGTGTTCTGTTTTTTGCCATATCAGCTTGGTGTTCATTCTTGCTGATGGTGTCAAGCCCAGCCTATGGGAAAAAAGGAAGTCACACTCTTGACAGAAATCATTGTCAGGATATCTGTGTATAGAGTGGGACAGGCCCCTGCCTTTCTCCCAATGGGTCAGTGACAGAGAGGGGGCAGAGCTCAAGTCAAGAAATTCTCTGTCAGCAAATATTTACTTATTGAACACTTATTATTTGCTAATTACTTCCTACTCATGTTTATATTTCTCATTATACAGAAAGCTTGCTTTTAAACACAAGCTCCTTATCTTGATTATTGCTAAAGGAAACAAAACTTTTAACTACGTCTTGTTTTTGGCTAAAATATGAAGTAATAGTAAAGCATCGAATCCCGTTCCTATACCCGAGACTCTGGGTAAGATAAAAGGCCTGGTTTACAAGTTACTTTTAGGAGGCAGTGTGTAAACTGAAGTACAATTGTACATTCTTATACTGTTCTTCCTTGCAGCAGAGGTAAGTTAGCCAATTGAAGCTTTATTGCCAGTAGAGCTTTGGGTTACATTTCTACAGCTCAGTGTTAAGCTTACAAGAAGATGCCTAGGGAGCTGCTGGCCAAGCTTCTTGAGTGTTTACTCTGCCCATAACTTTAATCCTCACAATAGCCAGGTGAGATGGGCACATTTATTATCTCTCTTTTATATGTGCGGTGACTGTGGCACTGGAGGGTTATTTCACTTGCCCAAGGTCACCAGCTAGTAAGTGGCAGCGTGGGTGTTGAGACTTTGTGACTCTGACTCCCAAAGCTCCTAAACCTTTTATAGTAACCACCATGCTCAACTCCGCATCTGAAAAAGGAACATTCAAGGAAGGCCAGTGGGAAAACTTAGAGGAGAACATGTAAACTGGAGGGCATTGGTGTGGTTCAGTGCCAGAATTCTTGCCTTCCATGCAGGAGACTCAGGTTCGATCCCCAGACGGTACTCCTCATGTGCAGCCCCCACCCATCATCTATCAGTGGAGGTTTGTGTGTTGCTGTGATGCTGAACAGGTTACAGACTAAGAAGATTAGGAGGAAAGGCTTGATGGTCTGCTGCCCAAAATCCACCTGTGAAAACCCTTTGGATCACAGTGATCACAGCTGACCATGGGGGTCGTGCAGAACTGGAAAAGGCAGCCTTTCACTCCATTGTGCATGGCGTTGGGGGCTAACTTCATGGCAGCTAACAACAACAAATGCAAATGATATCACCAGGAGGCATACTCTGAGGGGTATCTATCTGCATTAGAAATACAAAACAATCATAAATAACAATGGGATCAATAAACTCTTAGGTAATTCAGCTGTGGCGCTTTGGACACAGTTTGGGGGCACATCCATATCACAAGAACTGCCCTACCCTGAGTCAGCGACACTGTTCCCAGTGTGGCAAGCTGCAAACAGTTCAGAGAGCTGGTTCCTGGGCAGCATGATCAGGCTGCAGCCAGGGTCATTCTCCATGCATCCTCCTGGAAGCTTGGTCCTGGACCTCGGAAGCTAATCACACCGAGAGGTAACCTGGGAGGGATCCTGTTTCCCTCCTCCTGAGGTCTTCCAGTGTTTTGTTTTGTTGCTGGGTGGAATCTCTGCAGAGAACTGAAGTATACATTTTGTGGTTAGTGTGGAGTGTCCTTCATAGGAAGCAGGGATCAGCAGCCTGTCCTGCCTTTGTCAGCCTCCAGGCTGGCATGCTCACGTTGACAAAGAGAAGTGGTTTCATGCTCTTAAAAAAACAACAAAAAAGAAACACCAAAACAAAAAAACTGAAACAGCTATAATTATTATACTTTTCCAAGCTGCTAATATGTATACGATCAGGTCAGTGATTGCAAAGGAAAAAAGAACACTTTAATTTTTTAGGACCCAGGTCTTGGGACAGAGTGGGCATTGTGTGGGTGAACTAGAGGAAGAAATCTCTAGTTCCAGAAGAAATCTCTGGGCACTGCAATTGCTTTTCTTTGGCCCAGTTTGGTATTATTTCTGCTGGGTAAATAGTGAGATCAGGGCTCAACTCCTTCCACATTACTCTTTAACTCTTTCTTCTTTCTCCTGTTCACCATGAAAAGTGTTGATTTTAAGATCCTTGTGTGCCTTTCTCAATTTGAAAGCCCTCTGGACATGTGCTGGCGGTTTCTGTGATCTTTCTCCTGCCATAATGGACACTGCATATAAACCTGGTCAAGCGGAGGTTTTCCAAGGCTCCTGGTTTTCATTTAGGGTTATTAGCACCGAGCAAACTTATCTTCCTGGCTTTATAGCATAATGACCTGCAGATGTCTGTGGGATAACATAAGCCTGCCTCACCACCCCCAAATGGACCACCCCTTCACTCTTTCCCTGCTTGTCCCAACCGCAGTTGAGCTGAGAAATACGGTCCCAGGGCAAGCTGCTGTTAGCATTCTTGGGCTTCCGAGTTGCGATAGCCTACTTTGGAACATGGTTTTGAAGAAATCGGCAACACACATACATGTTTGTTTAGATGGAGCCATGTGGGATGTGGCACTGCCTGTTAATAAGGAACATTTCTTCAGTGTTTCCTACAGGGTTCTGATTTGTACTTTGATGCTCTCTGCACATTTCCTGTTGGAAGGCTTAATTAAAAATGGCAAGCGGCCCTCTCAGATCATTTCTGGGAGGGTCATTTGCTCTTATCGGCTGCTGGGGGTGGGAATTGTGGCTCTGGCTTCTTCCTCTGTGTATCCTATGGAAACCACCCCCTTCCCCAGACTCGTGACTTTTCTGCAGGATGACTCAGTAAGGAAAAGGATAAGGAAAGAAAGTCCAAAGTTAGCCCCTGAGTATCTGAAAATGCTGGTTCTGATGTATGAAAACAAAGCATTTCTCTAGGCATGCACAATGAGGGCATGAGGTGGTAAATTCCCCAGGAACACTGTAAAGATAAAGGGAAGAAGGAACAACAGGTCATTTACCAGAAGATGGGACTTTTCTGACTCAGGAAGTTGGGTATCTTTGTGATACCCTTTGTATGTGAACTGGGCCACGCAAACGTTGATGCACCGCTTCAGCGTGAGGGAGGCTGGCTGTGCACCGCATAGTTTTGAACCAGTGCAGTATGTATCAACATATGTTGAACTTAATGGTGAATAAAAAGTAAGCACCAATGCTGGTATGCCCTGGGGCATAGAGCTGCGAACTCTGTCTGGTTGGAGGCTGCATTTTAAGGAGGAAGGCTGAGCATCAGATTTTTTTTTTTTTTAAATTTCCTGTAGTTTATAAAAGGAGCTCTGGTAGCATAGTGCCTAAGGCATTTGACTGCTAACCAGAAGGCTGGTGGTTCAAACCCACCAGCCACTCCTCGGAAGGAAGATTGGGCAATCTACTTCCGTAGTGATACCACCTTGTAAACCCAAGGAGGGGTCGCTATGAGTTGGATCAACTCAACGGCACGTAACAACATAGTTTATAAAAGATTCAGGAGCAGGGAGTTCTAGATTTACTAAGTTAATATATTTAATCATGTTTGTGATCAGCTACTAACTTAAAGATTGGTGATTCAACCCCACTTAGCGGATCCATAGAAGGAAGGCCTGGTGAACTGCTTCCATAATGATTACAGCCAAGATGTTGTTGTTGTTGTTATGTGCTGTTGAGTCAGATCCAACTCATAGCGACCCCTCCTTGGGTTTCCGAGGCAGTATCACTACAGAAGTAGATTGCTCAACCTTCCTTCCGAGGAGTGGCTGGTGGGTTTGAACTGCCAGCCTTCTGGTTAGCAGTCAATGCCTTAGGTACTACGATAACCCCATGGAAGAGTTCTACTCTGTAACACATGGGGTTACCATGAGTTAGAATCCACTTGATGGAACAGTTTCTTTCTTTGTTTTTTAATTGGTGAAGCTCAGTTTGACTTCTGGTTGACTTGATTGAGAAGCGTGGCCATTTTCCTCATGGCCCTCTTTTCCAGCTAAGTGTGTTCATTACCTCTGTATCTAAGGAGAGACCCTTTAATGAGTGCCTCTTAGAGGTGTGTTAAATATTTGGTAAATATTTCAGTAGAGAGAGATAAGGTAAATATATTCTTAACATTTTAGTGAGATATATCAGTATAAAAACAGAACATTCATTAGAATTGATGTTAAACTTTGTTCATCTTGAAATTCAACATGTCAAACTTTATCTCACTAGGTGAGTTTTTTCATTTGCACTGAACTTAGGAAAATTTTTGAATGATGACATTTGGCAAAAACAATTAATAGTAAAGGAGTATGTGGTCTTAAACTGTCTGCTGAAGAACCCCTTATCAAAGCAGGCTCAGTTTTTTCCTTCAATAATTTCAAGACACGGTGTCCTAGGGAAGCTGGTATAAAATGATCATTGATTTTTATTTGCGTCTGTGATCCCTTCTGGTGACTCAATTTCTCTGTGATCTGTTTCAGAAACTGTCTGGGCAGAAGATAAATCCAGTTCTGCGGATGTTTGGTCAGTCCATATCAGGAGGCATTGATATGGATGGAAACAGCTATCCTGGTAAGCTGTTTTTCTTTAATGTAATATGAGATAAACTAAGATAAATGCAGGAAGTAGAATAATTTCCAGTTTGTTTAGCAGTCATTACATCCATTTGGGATTAGGAAAATGCACATGCTAGAAAGTGGGTGTTTTTTCCTGGTGTCCAATTTTAAGGAAAACATAATGAAGTTTATTTTAGGGAGCTCTGGTGGTGTAGTGCTTAAGGCATTTGACTGTTAACCAGAAGGCTGGCAGTTCAAACCCACCAACCACTCCTTGGAAGGAAGATTGGGCAATCTAATTTCTGTGGCAGTAATTTTAATGAAAAAAGCATTGTCCATATTTAAAATGTAAACCTCAGAATAAAATACAGGAAATTTGGGACACAGTTTCCTTGATATTTAACCATTTTTAGAAGCTTTTTACTTGTAGAGTGAGAAGGAAAAAAGAGTTAAGTAGTACCTTCCCTGCCTCATCTCCAAGATAATTGTTGAGAGATTTGGAGCTAGAAGAAAATCATGTTCTCTCACTAAAAGACAGACAGACCTCAGACAAAAAGTTGAAGTGCCTTTTGCCATTCAAAGCTGGTGGGCTTGTCTTCAGAGTTAATTAATGCTTTGTGGTAGTTGAGGCTAACTGAATAAAAATGTATGATTTCAAATTCCAACCCCAAGTGATATTTAGTTTAGGTAAAATTGCCCAGGCAGTTAGTTATTTTGGTGTTCATAGAGATGGAGTGGAGTGGGGTAAGGAAACAAAGATAAGAATTTGAGAAAATCCAAAATCATTATAGAATTTAGAAAAAATTTCCTTGAAAATATAGGTCAGCTTGCCTTTGAGAAAATATCTCTTTCCACTTAAAATGCCTTGGATAGGTCTCAGGAAAACAAATGCAATCCTGTTCGAGGACACAAAATCTTGTAGTTTCTTACGGACAGGAGTTTGGATCCTCCCTGATGACTATAGAGTCAGGAGCAGGAATGGGAACAGAAAGGGATCAGCACTGGGGGGTTTGTCCCAAGGTAGACCCTCAGGGTCTCTCTGACTTTGAGAAGGCAGTTCTCTTTGTTCTGGGCAATTCATGGTCATCTCTAAATAATACCTTAGATTAGCACTTCAATATGAGCAAATTGTTTCCAACTGCAGTGGACGGCTTATAGTAAACCCAGTAGGTAGGAAGGGATGGGGGCCTTCCCTGCCTTTATCGACAAGGAAATGGAGAGGAAAAGGAGCTGACCAGAGACTCCATCATGGCCAGCATAGACCCGGCCTTCCCCATAGTCAGATGCTTCTCTCTGAACACATGGTGCAGGTCTGCTCATATTTCCCATAGGCTTTTGAATTTCTTATGTTGCATTTTTCAGAAAAGGATTACATATTCATCAGATTCTTTGAAATTCAAATATCCAATCAATTTTGAAGATTATTTAAAAATAACAATTAACCAGCATGCATGAGTGTAGGCATTTTAGCAGCATGGTAATTCATACATTTACTCTTTGCTTTTCCTTAATAAGGGACTCGTATGTTTGCCTTCATTGGGTGACCTATGGATTCAGACTCTTGGATTTGGGTGCTTGAATCTGTAAAATAGCAACGGGAACCCCAGGGCTAAGGGATTTACATTAGGGGGCAGAAAGGGAGGAGGTAGAATAATCTAGTACGAAGCGTTAAGCATCAGGAGGGTGGAACTTTACAAAAATTTCTATGGCAGAAATATAGTGAATACTTCCTAAATTAAAGGTAGTTAGGAATAAACATTACAGTGCCTGGTTTATAGTTTACCAAGTATTTTCACAAATGTTATCTGATTTAAATATCAGCTTTTGAAGAAGACTGTTATGTGCTATTCAGTCAATTCCAACTCATAGCAGCTCTATATGACAGAATACAACTGCCCTATAGGGTTTCCTAGGCTGTACTCTTTACATATAAATCTGTCTTGGATGAAATACAGCCAGAATGCTTCTTAGAAGCGAGGATAGTCAGATTCTGTCTCACTTACTTTGGACATGTTATCAGGAGGGACCAGTCCCTGGAGGGTATCATGCTTGGGAAAGTAGAGGGTCAGCGAAAAAGAGACCCTCAACAAGATGGATGGACGTAGTGGTTGCAACAGTGGACTCAAACAGAGCAACAGTTGTGAGGATGGCACAGATCCGGGCAGTATTTCATTCTGCTCTACATGAGTTGGAACTGGCTCGATGGCACCTAACCACAAGAACATTTTCTATGGAAGCAGATTGCCAGGTCTTTTCTCCCACACAGCTGCTGGTGGGTTTGAATTCCTGACCTTCTTCTGGTTAGCAGCCAAGTGCTTAACTGTTGGACCACCAGGGCTCTTTTTAAAAGATACCATGGTATAGGTATGCCCATGTTACAAGGAAACTGAGAGAGGCTACGTGACTCTCAGGTCACATAGGGTGAGTGTTAGAGCAGTGAGGATTCACAGGCTCTGGTACTGTAGTGCCTAAGGCACTTGACTGCTAACCAGGAGGCTGGTGGTTCTAACCCACCAGCCACTCCTTGGAAGGAAGATGGGGCAATCTACTTCCGTAGCGATACTGCCTCGGAAACCCAAGGAGGGGTCGCTATGAGTCGGGGCTGACTCTATGGCACATAACAACAACGACAACAACAACGACAGCAACAAAAACAGAACCTAGAGCTTTTCCCAAGAGTCATTTAATTCCAGGTATCCCTCTCTCTAACTCAGTGCTGTCCAATAGAAATATAATGTGAGCCACAGATGTAATTTAAAATTTTCTAGTAACCACACAAAAAAGTAAAAGGAAATAGGTGAAATTAATTTTGATAATGCTTTCTTTAGCTTAATATATCCAACATACTATCATTTTAACATGTAGTCAATATAAAAATTATTGAGATTAAAAAAAACCCAAACTCACTGCCGTCAAGTCGATTCAACTCATAGCGGACCCTTCTTGGGTTTCTGAGATGGTATCTCTACAGAGGTAGATTGCCTAACCTTCCTTCCGAGGAGTGGCTGGGGGGTTTTAACTACCAGCCTTCTGGTTAGTAGTCAAATGCCTTAGGCACTACGCCACCAGAGCTCCTATTAACGAAATAGTTAACTTCTTTTTGGTCCTAACTCTTCGTGATCCAGTGCATATTATACTTATATTAGTCATGCGTAGTCATCGGCTGGCTGCCTTGTGGGACAGTGTGGCTCTAATTCATATGGAAGCATTATCCACAACTTGGCGCCAGAGTAGGCATGCCGCCTAAAAGAGGTATCTGATCTATCTGCGTCCCCTAGGTCCAGGGAGAAGGTGTCTAAGTCCGGCTTCAGGTCCGGCTCTCGACTGCCTGGTCCCCAGCAGTAGACCGAGGCTGTCCCTGCCACCTCATCTTCCTGCTGGTCGACCCTGGTTCCTGAGCAGCTGGGGATGGCCGGCCCTTGGGCGCCTGCCCATAAGATGGCTCCCTGACCTCGAGGCAGGGCTCCTTTGCTATAGAGTACCTTGCGATGGGTTGAGTGGGGGCAGGGTCCAGCAAGTTTCTGAATGCTGTCAACTTCTTGTTTTCAGATGTAACTGTTGGAGCCTTCATGTCTGACAGTGTGGTCCTTCTAAGGTGAGATGCTTCATTTGTGCTTCTTGGATTACATTCTTCATGGGTGAGGGATAGAGACACAGGGGAGATGTTAGCCATTAGCCAGCTCTTCCCTCTGTCCTGTTTCTTGCAGGCTGGAGGTGCTTAGTAAGTGGGAATGCTATTTTTATTTTCTCAATATTGTTTCCCACCCTCTATCCCAGAGTTTACAACTGGTGGGCCTCCAGTGGCTGACAGATGTGAAATGATAGATCCCACCCCTGGGGCTTCCATGCAGGGTTTAGAGTAATCTAAGTCCTAGAGATTTTCACCTTTTTCCATGTACAGCTCTTTCTATTAATGTGTTATACAAATATTGTCCTCTGTGGGTGTCATAACACTGAAGGGGCTGGGAAATACTGTTCTACTCATCTCTTCTATCCCTACACCCTGCATCCTCACCTCTAGTCAGTCCCCAAGCACTGCCCCCAGTGGTGCCCCTGCACTGGGTTTACTGAACACCAACATGGACCTAAATCTTCTGCCCATTCCCTGGTGTCAGCAGAGTTGATAGACATAAGTTCAAGCCCAGTGCTTGTTGAAGTCCATGCAGTCTGGATTCTCCCCTACAAAGGCTACTGCATTGGGCTCACCATCACTGCCCATGAACCATCTCTAAGTATTTCTGTCTGCATGAGTCAGAGGAGGCAGGGTTACACTTTGGAGTGGGACCCAGCTCTTAGGTTTTGTTAATAACCTAATAGCAGAATGTTCTAAAATAGAATAGTAGGCTCTTAGAGCTGGAAGGGATCCCAGAGACATCTACTTACACACCCCAGATTCTTCACATTCATCCATGCTTCCTTCTGGGTCACCACCACAGGGTCACACAGCCTCTTAGATGAGGTATCCCTATGGGTGGGGGTTTAATAACTAGAGAAATGACTTAACTTCCAGAAAACTCTAGATATTATATTAAATTATTGAAGAGGCAGAACAGCCTTGAGGTTAAGAGTGTAAACTTTGGGCCAGATGGCCTGGGTTCAGACCACAGCTGCCCCTTTACTAGCTGAGCTTCCTGGGCAGGTTCCATAACTTGTTTCTGGATTCTTATCTGTTTAACAGAGTAATAAACTCAAACCAAACTCACTGCCATCAAGTCGGATCTGACTCATAGTGACTTCTCCTTGGGTTTCTGAGGCAGTAACACTACGGAAGTAGATTGCCCCATCTTCCTTCCGAGGAGTGGCTGATGGGTTTGAACCACCACTCTTCTGGTTAGCAGTCAAATGCCTTAGGCACTGCACCACCAGAGCTAATAGTTATTAATTCATTGGATTCTTCTGAGAACTAAATGAGTTAATTCATATAGAATACTTAGAACAGTGCCTATTTTATATGCTCAGTGAGTGTCAGAAATTCTTAATTAAATTAAAATTTGCCTCCCTAAAATTCTGCTTGGAGCCCTTGAGTGGTGCAAATGGTAAACATGGTCACCTACTAACTAAAAGGTTGGAGGTTCGAATCTGTCCAGAGGTACCTAGGAAGAAAGACCTGGTGATCTAATGCCAAAACCTTGGCCATTGAAAACCCTTTAGCACACAGTTATACTCTGACACACATGGGATTTCCATGAGTTGGCATCATCTTGACGACAGCTGGAAAAGTGCTTACTGGTCTGCTTCTTCTACACAGCAGCACTTCAATATCTGAAGGCAGCATGAATGTTCCTCAGGTGGTGACTTTACTAAGATAAACCTCTTTAAACCTAAAAAAAAAAAAAACCAAACTCGCTGCCACTGAGTCAATTCCAATTCATAGTGACACACTGGTTTTCTGAAGCTGTAAATCTTTATGGGAGTAGATTCCTTCTGCAGAGTGGCTGGTGGGTTTGGACCACTGACCTTCTGGTTAGCACCCAAATGCCTTACCCACTACCCCACCAGAGCTCCATCAACCTCCTTAGTTCCTTTAATTATTCCCCCATGTGACTGCATTTTTACTTTCCTTCTCATCTTGCTCCTCTCCCTGTGGGATGAGAATTTTCCTTTTAAGTAAAACAGCTTTCTTAACTCCAAATTATGGAGCTAGACTTGTAAAGCTGGTAGCTCTAATTGGTGCCTTCATATTGTAGTTACTCTGTTCGCCATTCTGGGCACCTCACTCTGGCTTGTCAGGATTCCTCTAGAATAAAGTACATTCTTTGGCTTCACGTGGTTGAAAACGAGGCCTCTTAAAACCAGCAGCACTTGGTTTAAGGTACATCGTGTACAATCTGTTTTTTCATAATTCTTACA